GTATTACAATGGTTCAAAACAGATATTAACACTTCAATATGTTGGTTTATTAACATTACATCAGTTAATGAAATACGGTATTTTATTGTGAATTTAAGTTAAGTCTGCAAAACCCAAAATGTTGCTACCATATTTTTTACGGTGAAGTTCTGGCAACCACAGCTGCCGGTATTTTACCGTAAATATCACCGATTTTTTTTTTTACAGTGTACTGTATAATATTTGATGTGCAAATTGAATGAAAACGAAAGACCTGTTGTGATTTGCTAGTTTATCATTTTGAATCAAGTTCAAGGCCTTTTTAGTATTATTCACTTGTGTTTTTGTGGATTTTTTTTATTGATTTTTATAAAACATAAGAGGTACTTTTATATTATTAGTAGTATTTCAAGATTTGTTTAATTTAATTACCCATACACCATTTTCATGTTCGAATGTGAGTATCAAATATGATCATCAGGCTCTTGAGGAACGTTTTATTGTTCATCTCTCAATCATCATTGTATTGCATAGCATTATATGTTTTGAAACTACTGAGCTTAGATCATAAAACTAAGCATTTAAATATCATCTTACTAAGAGATAATATTGGAGATATGGAGTGACGACTGATATTTATATCATTTTGTGTAAGTAGTCTGTTATGCTGTTATAAAGAGTTCACTGCTTTACAAGCTAGCAGAATTTCTTCTCACATTTTGGCCATATGAATAACAACAGCTGCACCAAATTGCATATTTTTGCCTCTGAATAAAACTGATGTGATTCTTTTTTTCTTCTTTCAGTATGAGCCCTGTATTATTGCTATATCACACCATACTGTGTGTGCAGTGGTGGACGAAGTACACAAAACAAGTACTACAGGTAACCTAACAAAATCTTACCCCAGTAAAAGTAAGTACTCCTTTTCAGTTTTACTCAAGTAAAAGTACAGAAGTATTTCATTTTGAACGTACTTCGGTAAAGTAAAAAGGACTATAAATGAATGTTTATTTTGAATTCTAACTTTTAATATACTTGTATTTTTAATCATTTTATATTATATATGTAAGGGATAATCAACGGTTTGCCGTGCATTAAAGGATTTTAAATGCACGATGTGGAGGCCAAGAACCACCCGACGCGAATATTATTCCACGGTCTGTCTGAATACTGGATTCTGATTGGCTGGCAGGTATGCATTAAAACCGTTTTATGCACAGGTAGTTCCAAGTCAGTTTAATCACAGTTCCATATTAATGCGCTGCTTTACTTGATGCCCACAAACACGCACACACACACACACACACATAAACTTGTTGTCAACGCTTCCCCGCGATTTTTATTAATAAAATAGCCTAGATACTTGATCACATTATATTCCTCAACAGCGAGGTGGTAAAATTGCTGTTTTTGAAGTAATTAATTGTTTTTAGAGAGATGGGTAGGTAAAACACACACAACTGTCATCTCTCTCTCGCTCTCAGTCTCTCGATCGATAATTAATTGAAATAAATGCTATAATTCATTCAAATAAATGTGATCTTACATTTATTCGCCTCGGGTGGTTCTTGGCCTTCACGTCGTGCATTTAAAATCCTTTAATGCACGCAAACCGTTGATTATCCCTTACATATCGTACTGCTCAAAACACAGTTGAGGGGGGCTTGTAATGCACTATCAAAACATTGAATATATTAAATATCAGTTTAGGTTACTGATACTTCATGTGTGTAAACAAGTGAAAAAAACTGCATGTGCCATAAAAACCTGATGTATAAAATATGATACTCAACAAAAACAAGTATGCAAATTTTCAATAAAATGTTCCATTACAAATAAAATTAAATCAAATCATATGTCAGGCTTTACAAGTTTAACTTCCAGCAATAACCTTTTGTTTAATGTAAAGATATTTGCAAAATAGCCAGAAGTTTATTACAATTATTAAGAACAAAAATTAAGATACCCTAGCATAACTGCATAACTAGTACACTAAAAACCACCATCACTAAGAACACCTTAGCAACCGCATGACAACGGCCTGACGCTCTCTCTCAGTGTGGGAAAGGTGTGGCAGAGGAAAGCAGACACCACACACGGAGGCTGATGGGTTTACATTACCACTGCAACACAACAACAACACAAGCGAGAAATGGACAGACAGAGTTGGTTTCTAGAGAAGCGTGGCAGAACTGGTCATGTGAGCGTGTAAGTGAAATGAGAGTCGGCAGCACAGGCAGAAAGAAAGAAGGTCTTACAACATAATCTCATTTTCTAAGCTCCCCTCTCACACATGGACTTCATTCAGGGCAAAGGTGCACAGTCCTGTCCACTCTAATCCTGTTACGGGAATGTGACAGACTGCGCCGTCCGTCCACCAGTAAACGCTGGATTTAGATACAAGTACGACCTCTTACTGTATGACTGCTGACACATCGATCCACACTAACTGAGACCAACAGTGCACATGAGCCATCACAACTCTACTGGCTATGAAGCTGGTGTGAACGAGCATTTAGAATACAACTACAGTAGTAAATACAGAATTACAAGTACAGGCTGTGACCAATTTTGTGGAAATTGTTATTTTAGGATTCTTTGATAATTAAATAAGATTTAGCAGCGTATTTTAATTAGGGTCAACTTTAGCACAAGACAGCATCTCTTGATTTTTTTGGTCGATGAAAAATGATGCTAGCTAGATGTAGCGTCTGGACCAATCAAACACACAATATATATTTTGTTAGCTATATTTAACAAATACTCTGTAACACCCCTCAGTTAACAAGCCGTATGAGGACCTATGGACCCTTCCCCCGACTCAGAAAGGCAGAACAGGCCTCTGGTTCCATGGCAACCAATGCTGATATCACTGGTTTTATTGCCCAAAGGAATGTGACTACAGAAAATCAGTACACTTTCCATAGGAAGAGACACAATGCACAGTAAAAATGGACTCTTCTCTAATTAATTCATAGGAAAACCTTTCTTTGAATGAACACACATATCCTTCAGGTCATTGTGTATGTTGTCTTTTAAATTGTATACTGTTTATGCAGGCTTCTGATGGAACCACTCGTTTCTGTCATCTTACCTCTATGTAAGCCTACCATGTTTAATATCTATGAGTTCGTCTCCTGATGATCTAAACGAGAGTGTATATTATATGTTGGTACATAGGCAATATATTAGTGTTCTGAGAATCTCTAGTAATTTTGATTCAGGTTCCATATGCAAATTACCATGCTTTCACACAAAGGGTCATAAAACTCCCCAGTATTTCCAAACTCCCGCTTGGAATTTCAGCCTTTCTCATTGGACAAGCCCATCCTAAGAGGCGGGAATCTTCTCAGACTTTAAAAGGGCCCATGCACAGTTCCGCCCAGA